TTTTTTATATTAATTTAGAATTGCTATTTCAATTTTTATTGTTTTCTTTTCTTTAATATACATTTTTTTAAATAATAATTAAAAAATAAAAATAAAAATCTTGACGAAGTCTCCTATCCGATAGGGACCGACGTCATCTAAAAATGTCTAAAAATTTCGACGAAGCCTCCTATCCGATAGGGGCCGACGTCATCAAAATCACTTTTATTTTAGATGTCCTCCGACACGCCGATTGTGTCGAGGCTTTTTAGTGGATCCGATGTTTGAATCGACGTGTCACCCAACGAAGGAGACCGACGATCGTTTCAATATGATGCCACGCCCAAAACTAAAAAAATTATTTAGGCTAAAAGATAGGAGATTAAAATTCAGAAAATAGCTTGACATGGATTTTAGGGGATAATTCAGAACTAAACCGTACATGGTACCTTTTTTCGAAAAGGGCGCTTTTAGGTGATTTAATATCTTCCCAAAAGCGTAACCAACTCCTTACCTTAAGAATTTCCGAACCAGTCTTGCTTTTAGGTTCCTAGTCCTTTAAACACTAGGTGGCGACTCCAAAACTCTGTAAATAATTTTGATTAATCAACACCCAAACTACTCTTTAAAGCTTTCTTTTGGGAGGTCCCGTCCGACGTCGAGGAGCGACAAAGATTATTATGACAGCTTGTAATTAAAGATCAATTTTATTTGTTGTATTCATTAAATTATATCGTTTTGTCTATTATGCATATTTTTTATATTTGTTATGCATTTTAGACGTGGTGATTTTTTTTTTGTTTTAATTCATAATAATTTATAATATATATATATTTTTTTATCAAATTGTTATTCATTTGTTAAACTTTTTGAGGTATTATTCTTTAGTTATGCTCGTGAATTGGATAGATCCGATCTCGATGTCGTGGCCCATGGCTCTAATGTTAATCATGTAGCTAATAGTGGTGTGTACGTGGACGTGGCACTACTAGTCTAACTATCCGGGGTCGAAGACTTGATAGTGGTACTAGCATATTTACGACACCTTTAGTAGTACACCTTTACGTAGATGATCTCATTATGGTTTCCTTAACTCCAAGAAGTTTTGATATATCTAATGATGGACGAACCATTTAGGTCATAAATAACTAGTAAGTAATATGTTTTACATACGATAATTATTTTTATATTTGCATATATTAAATTAGAATAATTAATTTACTTATTTATTATTTGTTTGTTTTGTTTGACGAGTTTGGTTTTATCAAGAAAGTGCTTTATAAAAATCACTATAATTTTCAAGGAGCTATTTAATATCGCTAGCTCCATATGAAAGTCTCGTCTCCATTGAGATGAAATACTTCTACTTAAATAAGTTTAAGGTAATATTAATTATTTACTTAAATTTCATTTAAAGTGTTAACTTTTCATGAAAAGTACTAATATAATCTTTTCCTTCATGTAAAAGTACTTTTTATGGGATACAACCATTGACGCACTAATTAAGGATGTGTGGGAGAGCCTAGCGTGAATGCGGTATGATGACATGTTTAATAAGTCGAAGTTTAAGAGTAACGGACTCGTGTTTGTTAAACGGGAGGTGTGGGAAGCATGGTATTGGAATTAGGCTACTCTTGAGTATCGGGCCCGATCTCGGCGAGGCGTTACGAAACTACAAGTTAGAGGCTGGTGGTGTCGGTGCTAGCTCATCCAAGCATACCGAAGGATCCATCTCTTATCGAGCACGCCGAGCATTTGATAAAAGCTATATTATCCATTGTGTTATAAATTAATTTTTGCTTATTTTTTCTCATATTATTTTGTTTATTTTCTTCGACATAATAAATTAGGTCATAATCGAAATTCTTATAAGTCTGTTTGTGACCACTCACAAATGGAAGGATGAGACATTTGTTGACGAGCGATCCTAGATAGTAATGGTAAGGTTTTATATATATATATTTTTAAAATATATATGCATCTATTAATATAATCTAAAAAAATATATTTATTATTTAATATTATAATTATTTCAATGACTTAGGAGCACGTGTAGTCAATGCAAGAAGCAACTACTAAGGAGCGAAAGGAGAGTGATGCATCGTCTCAAGATATTGACATGTTTAAGATATATTTAGATGTTATCAAAGGGGAGAAGAAGCGAACATGTATGACATTAAAACTAATGTATCCCGAGTGTTACTCACATTCCGGCGTTAACCCCTCTTTTGCCACTTTGCGGTATTCGATGGTAATATCCAAGATGTTTCGCCTAGTAGGAGGATAAGATCAAAGGGATGGAGGCTACGATCCAGCAATAGACCGATCAATTTAGCGACGATAAAGACTCATTTGTAGAGAGTTATGGGATTGGTAGAGAACCTCAAGGTCCTTCTCGTCCCTCCTGCCGACTCTCCCACAATCCAACGAGTTAGTTGCTCCTCTCAACAACCAACAACTAGAAGATTATGTAGGAGGTGGTAATAATGAGGACTAAATTTATTTATTTTTTTTTAAAAAAAGTTTTAAATATTTTTGTACATCTTAACGCATTTATATATTTATTTTAATTTAATTTATATAATTTTAATTTTATTAAATAATATATTATGTTTTAATAAGGTGTTTTTTTTATAGTTGGTTGTTATTGCAATTCCCAACAAATAGCTATTGATTTTTTTTATTTTTTTTAAAAAGAGAAAAAATTAGCAATGGATTTAGCGATGGAATAGAGACGGCAATTAGTGATGGATATATATACGGTTGCTAAATAGCGATGGAATTGTGAGAATATTAGTGACTATAATTTAATGACGGACCCATTCCGTCTCTATTTAATGACGAATTTAATTGAAAATAACAATGGTTTGGTGACGGATATGAGACATTGCGGACGACTCATTTAGATCGATTTAGCGATGGAATATCAACAATTTAGCGCGGATATTCTATCGCCGATTAGCGACGAAATAAAATATCTAGGCGCTAAAAAAATAGCGACCACCATATCGTTGACATAATTCATAGTCTCTAATCCTTTAATTAACGATAGATTTTTGACAAATAGCGATGAAAAATCTATCGCTATTTAGTGAAATTCTGATAATGTATGGGCACGCAAATACTGTCTATGCAACAAGTGGTAACTTGCTGTTTCTGACTACCATATCTGCACCAAAACCTGCAAACATTGTCAGCATTGGCAATGTGAGGATCATGTTTCTTGAATAATTAGATGGTACGGTTTGAAAGGAACAACCGCATACACTGAACCAGTTTTGGCAGTGGTGCAGTTTTAGTGTTAATGGAGGTGTTCCTGCAGGGTGCTGGTGTCCAAGTGTTGAAGCGGAAGCTTTCATTAGGCACAAAAGAATATTAGAAATTATTACGGATAACAAAAGCTGGTCTGGAATTCAGATAGATACGTAGATATTTATCCTTATAAGTTATACTTTATCGGGTTTTTCTTTAAATTTTTCTTTTAAAAAGGCAAAGAGAAACTTGCAATGGTTCAGATCAGCGAAAATGTTTTGGACCTCAAGTTTCATTTTAACAATGATTAGATGTACCGCAAGCCATTTTAACAATGATTAGATGTACTGAAAGCCATGGCTCCTGCTTTGGCTATTTTCCCTCGAATGGCAGCCAGTGTGCACCAAAGGCAAAACTTCTCCAAAGTTATTATAATGAGTAATTATAATTTAGTGATACTGTTTTTAATGATTTTGCATGTTATAAGTTAGTAGTTTTTTACCAAAGTGGACTGTTAATTCTTTTTCCAAACGTCCAAATGGCTTTTTGCGTGATTTATTTATTGTAGATGACTTGGGAAAATTTGATAAGAAATAAAGGTCATTTTAGGGGAAAAAAAAACCAATAAAAGGACTAAATTACAAAGATATATAAAAATATAGGGATTCTATAATAGGCTTTTCAAACCGAAAAAAGATTAATCAATTATTCACTAAAAACATGCGATTAGATAATAGTTTATTATATATAATTAGCGACTTGGTAACCTATTTGCTTTAGCTTTGCTACCAACAGGATACTGCATGAGGCTTTCAATCATGCAGGGGAAATCTGCCTTGTTCACAGGAAAGTTATTAATAATAATAATAATAAATAAATAAATAAAAATTGTGCTCAACTTTTAGAGAAGTTAAGAGACGGGTCAAAGAGTGAATGGAAGTCTTTTTTTTTTTTGGTTACGTTTTTACTCCAGCAAAATTAGCAGATGCAGAGGATACACACCATCTTCGAGCAGATTAGTAATTCATGCTTGACCAATGCAGTGCGAAAATGAGACTTTGTGCATTCTCATTTGATAAGAAATTCTTAGCATAAATTAGGCTTGAAAAAATGGTTCCATAAGAAGCTTGCGCATATTTTGGCACCACAAGTAGACAGATTTATGTGGTCATTAAAAGGGACATCTTCCCTTGTTCAGATCTCATTTCGAGTGTACATAGAATGTTTGAAATATAATAGAGCAGAAAAGGAAAATCATAATGGACTAAAGAAGATCCTGATATCAGTTTTATCTTCGCCAATCATCATCAAAATAACACCCCCCCCCCCCAAAAAAAAAAAAAAAAAAAACGCATGCTCGGTAATAAACCAATTCACTAAAATAAATTATGGGTGCTGTAATCACTAATTAACAATTAAGTAGACAAATAGTAGATTCAAAATCCTTACTTTGTTAGATGCATGAACAAGAGTATTTTATTTGAAAAGAAAACTGGGTAAATGGTATCATAAATATATCCTCGAACTGTCCTACTTCAACAGACTAGAGGCCTTAACCTTCAAATGCATCCTCATAGGCAGCGTGAATCACTGACTATAATGGATAGTTTCGCTATAAACAGGTTGAAATGACAGAAAACAAAAGAGGAGATCTCTGAAAGAAAACCTTGAAGGAGCTTCCAAGTCCCTTGGTCTTAGTCAAAGATACCCTCACGCTTCATAAATTGGAAACCAACCATAAGGTTTTGGTTGTCATGACACACTCGAATCTACTCACCAGTGGCAACAAAAGGAATTCCCCTGAAAACAAAAAAGGGTCATCATTATATATTCAAAGCAAGGTCATAAAATAAAAATAGCATTATCAAGGCAGAATACAAAGTTCAGAAGATAAAAAAAAACATAATAATAAAATTAAAAAAAAAAGGGCTAGGGAATGGATCAGAGTAGCTGAACTTGAAGAAAATCAATCCAGAAATTTCTACAATCCAGGTTATCTTGCTGTTATGGAGAGAACACAATGCAAATATATAAAACAAGTTCCTGCAAAAATTCAGCAAGCAAGCTTACATGCCACCATGTCTTGAAAAGTAATCATTGTCCAGTGAAATAGCAAGAGCAACAGCTACAGCTCTCTCTGCCAGAGTCAGTGGACGGATAACTTCCAAATCTTGAACCTGCCAACCAAAGAAAAACGCCACAGACAAAAAGCATAAAATGACAATAGCATATTAGAGAAGCACGGTACGAGTGTAGTGAGATCAGTTTGCTATTTTACCACTGTAGCAGACCCAGTCTTTGCATTGGGATCCGAACTCCCAAATCTTATCACATACTGACCAGCATCAGTAAAGATCTGCATTATATTGGGAGAAAATGTGAACATTTAATTTCCATTCAGCTGCTGAAGCAACATAAAATGATGGCAAACATTTAAAGCCTTTATAATCCAAAACTTGGCAGCAAAACTATACTTTGGTTACAATGCTTGAAGGGGAAGTCATTGCTGAGCATTATGATGATAAAAATCTGAACATGCCTGATTGGTAAAATGGAATCTATAACGTATTAATAAGATCAGTTATTATCTCAAGATTAATGAATAAGTTTTGAAAGCCCACCTTTCTTGCTATTGATAACAAACTTATTATATCAAATTCTCCCCAGTATCATAAATCTGGCTTTTGTCTGCCAAAATTCAATCTTTTTTATCAAAAAAAGTTCATTTCATATAGAAGGAAAAAAAACACTTCAATCAAATTTGTTAGCATGTTCACCAAACGAGCAAGTATATTGCATCACAATAATGATGACAATCATAAGAATGTAACGTAAGGTAAATGTAGCTATATATGCATGGATACGTCTTGTACAGCTTTTATCCCTGCCAAAACTAATATTAAGATCAAATAACCCACTTATCATGTTACAGAACCAAGTAAATCTGAAACTTAAGTTCTCTGAAGGGAACAATTTATGAGAAGTCATTTCGAGGTAATATTAGTCAAGGGGGTGAACAAAAAATGCATGAGAATCCACACAATATTCTGTAACACCATGTCACAAGGAAAGGAGACAACCTCAAATCCAAAACCCCTCCAATCACGATCTATTTGAGCCAGCACATTCCCATCAATGTCCTTGAGAGTAAATGTCCAGTTCCACAAGCCAGGATTTTCAACTACTGCAAACTGTTTATTTCTGTGAATAATATTGTTAGCATATGTTCTCTAAATGGGAGAAAAATGGATTCACGTAAAATAAGGTTTAAGCCAATGGATCACTAGACAGAACAGTAGTTGAATAAAATTGAAAATCACAGCAGAGTTAAACACTATATTCGATCAATGCAAGGTAAGCCAGTACAACAAAGAATCTAATGTTGAAATGAATGACACATGCGCACACCATAATGATGCCAATACCATGTTAACACATGGCACACATCAGTTACTCACCCTTTTATTTCCAAATTCAAGCACTCGTCCCCTACAGTAATGTTTCCCCCTTCTTTAACATATTACGACAGTATTTGCACTTCCTCGTAAGGGTTTCAGAGTTCTACCATTAAAGTATTGCTTTCTCTCAACAAAAGTATGTTGCCAATTTGTTAAAAGAGCCTAGACTTTAAGGAGCCAAACCAATTGAAACTCCAATGGATCCCAATGTGAAGTTAGGGGAAAAAGATGGTGAGTTGTTGATAATCCTAGAATTATAGAAAGTTAATTTGGAAACTTATTTAGTCGACAATAACCAGACCTAATATAACATTTGTGTTGAAGTGCTTAGTCAACTCATGCAAAGTCCAAGACAATCTCACTGGAAGGGTTTGAAATTTTAAAATTTCTTTAGCTCCAGACAAAGGGGTTACTGTTCAAGAAATTACTCATTGAACAATGTAGGATTCTCATATGCTGATTGAGCTGGAGATCATATGGGTCAAAAGTCAATTTCTGCCTCCTGTAAATTTATTTAGAGAAATTTAGTGACCTTGAAGAATAAAAAGCAAAGTGTGGTGACAAGATCAAGAGCAGAAGGAGAGTATAGAGCTGTCACTTATAGAGCATGTGAAATGATATTGGTCAGGTCTCTCCAGCAAGAGTGGGGATTTTCATATAAAAGGCAATGATGATTTTTCTGAAAATAAAGCTGCCATGTATATCGCCTTGGATCCAATTTTCCACGAGAGAGCTAAGCAGATAGAAGTAGACTGCTATTTAGCCAGCTATTTAGTGCAAAGGAAACAAGTGACGTGGTTTATATAAAGTCAAGAAATCATTTACATGTGTTTACAAAGGCTTTTGATGCAGAAACCAAAACAATTAAATTTCGTATATTTTTATGTGATTTTTGACGATAAGGGGGAAACCTAATGCTAAATCAAACATGTCTAGTTAGCTTGATCTGGACTGGAACTAGCCCAAAAAATAAATAATAAATAATAATAACAGCTAATATTGTAGGATTTGGGATCTAAACTGTCAGGGGCAGTCTCTGAGATTTTGCTTTAGATAGGGGTAATTTTGTAAAAGTTTAACAGTCCACTGCAAGGTTAATTATCTCAAGAGTCCTGTACTTTCATAATTTACTTACCTTCGTCCCTTTTTAATTAATTTTCTCAATTTTCCCTACAGCAAGGCCACTAACCTTAATTGCACACCAATCATAAATAATATTGAAATGACTTGGATAATGTTATGCCAGAAATTACCCCAAGTACAAATCATATATCCTTCTCCACAAGTGCCATCGTCTGTGAACAACACCAACTTCCTAAAAGGAACAGATATTTGAGATCATTAAGAACTGGAATGCAATTTACATTCTCAGAATTTCATACCCCATTGTTAACAAAGCAGAGATACATTATATTGGCATACCTTACCATTAATATCTGCATAAATTGAGCTCGTTAACCACCAGAAAGGCCTCCGAACCTAATTGTAATGAAATAAAACCTTATAGATGAAACAACAGCCCATCCAAAACTCTATCACCTGGCAACTTGTCCATGGTTCAAAGGAGAATCTGTTGAAAGCACTCACCCTAAACAGCTCATTACCCATGGCATCAGTTATGTAAGCGACAAAAGGGCGCCTTAGGCGAAGGAGCTATGAGAAAAAAACAAGCATCAGCAACGCAAACGAGCAAGGAAACAATTTCAAATATTTCAATTCCAAAGTAAAGAAGAAACTGCAATAATCCTTCAACACACATACACAGAAAACTAACTTTTTTAGGAAAAGTGAAATAAATACAAGGAGGAGGAAATATCCTCGAAAGATGAAACAAAAAATGAAAAGACAAGAATCATATCAGACATGCTGACCAATCCCTCTGAATTGCCTGCCAAAATGCCTCTGCTAGACAAACAATGTGGGTAGGTCCAAAGAGAGGCTAGAAAAATAATCCTAACTATAAAAGTTGAGTGGAATCTTAAAATTTCTGAAGTTTAGCTTCACAACAAACATCACAAACAGACACAAGTGAATTCAGACCAAAGGTGGCATATCTTTGTAGGGTTAATGTTTGCAGGGGTCCTCTCCTTTTTTTGTTTTTATTGTGTCCCCTACTCTTTTTCATCTTAAGTTCATTTCTCTATGTTTTGTTTATGTCTTAATTGTGTCCTTCACTCTTCTTTTTTGTTTACCGAATTTAATAAATAGATTTTGAAAAATAAAAAATAAAACCTAGGAAAAAAAGTGAAGGTAAAAATATTTTTTATCCAAAATATGTTTTATGGGTTTAAATTTATCTCTATGATAGTAAGCAAATTTTGAGCAGAAAATGAAATATTTACAATATATTTTTTAAATGTCAATGGAGTTTTAATTAAAATTTTAAACTTTTGAATGGTATTTGTAATTTATAATACCTCAAAAGAGTTTATTTTAAACTTCCATTTTTTTCGATATATCTTGTCATTCTCTCTAAAATCTATTAAAAAAAATGATAAAGATAAAAAAAAAATTTTTATCCAAAAATATCTTTCATGGGTTTAAATTTATCTCTATGATAGGAACCAAATTTTAAGTATAAATTTTTTTTTTTTTAATGTCAAGAGATTTTTAGTCAAAAATTTAAACTTTTAAATAGTATTTATAAGTTTATAACACTTCAAAAGAGTCTATTATAATTTATTTATTTTTATTTTATAAATTTTTAAATTTGACTCAAAAGTAAGAATTTTTTCAAAATTTATTTATTTAAATTTGGTAAAAAAAGAATAGAGAGACAAGATTAAGATTAAAAAAAAAAATTTGACACGTGTCGCAATCCTATAGTACTAGGGTGTGATTTAACACTGTTTGCTCAAAAAGTTAACAGAATGACACGAGTAAGACAGAAACCAAACATAGAAGGAGGAACTTAAGACAAAAAAGAGTAAAGGGACATGACAAAGACGAAAAAAAAGTGAGAGACTCCTGCAACCATTAACCCTATCTTTGTAGGCTCTTACAGTTATTTCTTCTCCCAACTTAGAGGAAATTTTCTACTTTTTCTGGCAATGTTCCCCACAAATAACAAAAATAGACAGCACCTCCCAACCAATCAGCTACTGCAAAAATGACAACCCAAAATCTCTCTGCTATTTAGTTAAATGAAAAAACACGTCAACCCACTAACAATACACAGAATACACAATAGTATGTCTAATGCCTTAATTCGTAATGCAGCCAGAAAGTGTAGCATTGGCAGCATGTAAACCTACAGGGAATCATTTTAAGAAGATCAAAATACATGATTCCATGCTGATCAACTCATTCTCCTGTTTCAAGTTCAGCTGCTGAATAATTCAACTACATTAAGCTTTCAGAAGATCAAAATACATGATTCCATGCCTATTAAGTCATTCTCCTGTTTCAACTTCAGGTGCCGAATAAGTCAACTACATTAAGCTTTAAGATCAACTTAAACATTCTATCTAGAGAAATACTTTTCATCAAACCATGCAGACTATGTTGCATTTCAATATAATCATGCATGAAAGAGTGAGAGAGAAGCAGGTTTCCCGTAGCACACAGGTCTTCCTATAATCAACGTTATAAACTAGCAGCTTTGGCAAAACAAATTGAATCAGCATGAGGGCCACAATAGATAGTTCAGAATTCTGATAGAACATGACAAATACATCCAGGATACAAGAGGAAAAAGAAGAAGAATACCTGTCTGGCAATTAGATTACTTTGCTCACGAATAAAACCTACAGGCTACAAAAGAAACATATAATGTTACAAATTTGATAATTATTCAAGCGTGAAACAATATTCTTATCAAACATAAATTTCATATTCGAAAATATAGAAGGAATTGTGGTTATGATTACTTACTGACTTTGGGTAGCACACGTCTACTACTGCATAACGGTTCTCCTGCAATCATAATAATACAATACCAATAAAGAAAATTAAAAGCCAAAAAGAACTACATCAAAAACAAAAGGAAAGTGAATTACATGCTGACACATGTGGAGCATTATGGCAAATAAACAAACCTCGTAATCAGTTCCATAATACAAGCATGCAAGAATAACTCATCAATCATTATGGTAAAGACCTCGTAAAATTAACCAAAATGTGAAAAGAGGACAGAAAAACAAGCAGGTTACCAACAATGGTCTTCAAACCCATTAAGCTATGAACCAATAGATAAATATAGATTCTGAGTAAATCAATAGCAAAGTACCAACCATTTAACTCCTAAAATTACTGTCCGCATCTACAAGGCTAAATGCATCTAGAAAGAAAAATGTGAAACACAAGATTTCATATAAGTCTTTGTCCTCTCAGTCATTATGGAAGAACCGCTGAGGATATCTAAGATGATATTCGAAAAAGAAAGATGAAACCAGAGCTGGTGATACAGACAAAAAGAAAGAAGTTTCTGAATTGCGCTATTTTGATTTTTCATTCTGTATATTCTAGCTTTTCTTGTAAATATAGTCTGCTCAGGAATTTGTCTTAGGAATCTTAGGTTATTTCCTATTAGTTTAGGACTGCTATGGTTTTCAGTGCTTATAAAAGAAGCACTTCTTTTATGTAATTGATTTTGAATAATGGAATTTAAATCCTCTTTACCCATATTGGCAAACCTAAGCATAATTTTGATAACCCAAGTACTTCCCCATCAATACCCTACATTACAGATAGAACACACAAGAACAAGATAGATGCAAGATACCAAATATGATGCTAATAACAACCAGGCCTTGATTTTTAATAAAAATATGCATAGCTTCAATGACATTTGAAACAGCAACATTACCACTAGGACATGATGGTATTGTAAAGAGAGCATCAAAGATCCATATGCAACGTCAGTAATTACCAACACTTGAAAAAATTCAAAAATTTGCATGCAGCCAATCAAATCATGGTTGTCTGATGACAGTCTGATATTTGAATAAATAAACCAGGAAATGACGCAATATACCATCAGATGGTTCAAGGTAGAAAAGATCAGCGTTGTGAAGTTAAAAAACATAAAAATATGTAAGAGAATACTTTGGCATTTTAAAAGTTTATGCCTCAGCAGAGATAAATAACCACAGCATGGTATGAGATTAGAGAAAAAGATGTGGAAAAAGGCTAATACAAAAAAAAAATTACCTGCTCAAAACCAAGTACAAGATTTGCCCACTCTATATCCCTGGTAATCAGCAAATTGGACCTAGCCAGAAGAGGTGCCACCCGTGCCTGTAAAATTAATGAAACGAAGAGTTAGTCAGCTACTTATTCATTTTAATACTAAACTTGAGAAGGATTAATCTGCTTAGAATAATATGTACGAAACCCAGAATATAAATCAACACAAAAACATCAGATACACAACAAACAATGTAGCAGCAAAGGCAGCTCACCTCCTCAGGAAATGCTGGCTCCAAAAGCCCAGAAAGAGATTGACTGGGAGGAGGTTGCTGCAGAACGTGGTCATAAGATTTTTGTTCTGTAACAGATGCATCAGGAAACCATTTTCCAACCGCACCAGAAAACCATTTTCCAGCTGGGTGCGTATCAAATACAGTAGCACCCTTTCCCTTAACAATCCTTTTCTGGCTTGTTCTTCTTTTAGAATATTTTTCCATTTCCTTATCTACAATCCAAAGCTGTGCTAGAAATTTTCTACTCAACTGAGGATCGGAGGGAACATTATTATGTCCGAATCGGCGAGAAACAATGCCGAAGTTTGGTGACCCATTTTTTATCCATAATTCAGTTTTGCAAGTCTTGGCAAGAAAATGCAAACGTTTTGCCCAATTCATCTCTCACTCTCGCAGGGCCGCCTACGTTGTAAAGTATAAAAATACACAAGAAAATATAAATTAAAATTGAAACTCTATGCCCTAAAAAAAAAAAAAAAAACTGCATAAATTATTCTGAACTTGACAAACGAAATTATGAGAAAATTTGGTGGTGAAAAGCATAATAATAATAATAAAGAGAAGTAAAAAGGTACTTGTGGTTTCTTTGCTCCAGCTCTGCCTCTGTGTGTTGGCGTGTTCTCCTTCTTGAAGTTTCTGTCTTCTTCCCTCTTTCTCTCTTTCAGTACGTGACTGTGTTCAGCCGTGCGCGATGTCATTTTCCTTTTCGGTATAACTATAAATCAGCCCCCAAAATATAATCGGTTTCGCAAGTTAATTCGGAACCCGTGGAATTTTGCAACGGTTAGCTTAACCTATCAAAGCATTAACAACCTGCTCTCTGCCGTTTGTTTCATATAAACGCCACGTCAATCTGAACACGTGCATTCAACAAAAGTAACAATTTGTCAAATTGTTTGCATGGTATTAGTCTTTTTGATCGCACTATATTATGTATTAGATAAAATATATAAAATTATTTTAAAAAATATATAAAATCAAAAATTAAAAAATTATTTATAATTTTTAATCAAAAATTTTGGTATTTAATTATTTTTATTTGTGTTTTTCATAATTGTTTTTTTAGAAAAATGATTTATCCTTATTAATTCATAGATTATTAACTAAAAAAGAAAATTAAATATTTTTTTAAAAAAAGCATTATTATTTCATAAAATTGTGTCAAGAAACATAAATAACAACTATTAAAAGCTTACATATAATTTAATAAATATTTTTTTATTTAATGTTGATGAGAATATCGGTTTTTGAAAAAATGTAAATTTAATTTTTATATATTTATTTACAAAAGAATGAATAATATTAAATAAAAAAACTATATTAATTTGAATCATTAAGTGGTTAAACCAAAACATTAATTTAATTATTTAATTTAAAAATAAATAAATAAATAGTAAATGCTTAATGTAGAAAAAAATATTATTATAATATAATCATAATATTAATAACATATGACTATATTTAAAAAATGACAAAATAAAGTAGTAAATTTTAGATAATAAAAATAATTAAAGAAAATAATAAAACAATATGAGACCAAATCACAATATAATTAAAGTTTGAAATTTTAATAACAATTATTAAAAGCTTACATAGAATTGAGCAAATAATTTTTTTTATTTAATGTTGATGAGAATATCAATTTTTGAAAAAATATAAATTTAATTTTTATATATTTATTTACAAAAGAATGAATAATATTAAAATGAAAAACTATATTAATTTGAATCATTGAGTGGTTAAGCCGAACATTATTTTAATGATTTAACTCAAAAATAAATAAATAAATAGTAAATTCTTAGTGTAGAAAAAAATATTATTATTATATGATCATAATACTAATAACATATGACTATATTAAAAAAAATAACAACTTAAAGAAGTAAATTTTAAATAATTAAAATAATTAAAATAAAACATTAAAATAAAATGGGACCAAATCATAATACAATTAAAGTTTGAAACTGAAAAAAAAAAAGTATAGAAAAATTGAACATCAAAGTCCTAAAAAAATGACATGAATAGTAAAAGGAATAGTGATTTGTGAATGTGTAAATAGTAATTTATAAGCGTGTGAATAGTATTTTAATTAGTAAAAATGAATAATAAAATCATATTCTACTTTATTTTTTTTAGTAATAATTTAATACTAGATTTTAACTTGCGCTCCGCCATGAAACGAGTGCTTTTTTTTTTTTAATACTTCAAGAGGTACGATAAAATCAACAATCAAGTTGTTATTCTAATTTTTTTCAATGAAAAATGAAAAAAAGTTGTACTAATATTTGTTATATGAAAGTTAATAATAATTAGAAAAGGATGAAAAAGCGATAATGACCCCGAGCACAGAAAATGAAGATGTAAATTGCTGGGTTTGGAAGAATAATTGCTTGCATAGTAGGTGCTAGTAAAAATATAATAAAAAAATCACATGGAAGCGAATAATATAATAGGCATGTTTTGTGCTTGCAAGCGATGGACATCTGTTTTATCATGGCTACATGTGACACATTTTGATCAATATTATTTTTTGGAACAAAAGATTCAGTTATTAAATGATTATTTCTAAGCATTTAAAAGCTAATAAAAGGGTGGTCACAATCCGATTATGCGAAAGTTTACTCTTTTGAAGGAAGAAAATTTGGTTCGAGCAGCGCAACATCATCATCATCGTAGACAGCAAGCGCAATGAAATGATGATCTAATGTTGATCTAAAGCGTCGAATTTGAAAAAATTTTGGCTTGTTCATTGCATCGAGTAATGGTTGCGGTATTGAGGTTTGGGCATTCCATCTGTAGTTTAAAACTAATCGTTCACAGTTGTAGTTAAAGCATGATTCAGCTATATTTCCAACAACCATGATTATGGCTTCAGTTTGACCATTGGCTATCACACAACTAAGGCACAATCTAGGGAAAAAAATTATTCAATTATGTAATAAAATTGGTTTCTTGGTTAGTATTAAATAAAGGATATTAAACTAGGAGTTATAATAATTATACATGTAATGTTGTTTATTGAGACTATTTATCATGGGATGGGTCCCGATTGAAGGGACGTATGCAATGGGCATGAGTAAGTGCATCCTGATTCCCTTGCATAATTGTTGCATTATAGGCATGCTAGGTACCACCAGCCTGTTGTTCGTATCCATATGGATGACTCAAGCTTTGATTGTATAGGGAATAGACTGGGAAAAAAAAAAAAACCATTAAATTTTCTAGATATAGCAAAGAGAAATAAAAGGTTTTTTTTGCTGGTTTTTGTTGCAACCTCAAACCTGACAATTGGTGGCTGGAGCAAGTGCTTGATCGTTGTTCTGTTTGTGTTTTGAGCAATTCTTCATCCATGTTCTTAATCATAGTTTTAAATATAAAAGTAATGATATTTCAAGGGGTTATGAGAAGTAATAATCAAAAAGCAAGAAGATTTCTTTCTTTTTTTTTTTTTTTTTGGATTTTTGAATGTAAAAAAAAAAAAATTAAATGATCTAACTGTATTATTGTAAAAGGTGATGAAGTGAAGACAAAAACTTCAAACAAAAGATGGTTGAAAGCAAGAGCTGAAATATATGTTTATTTTTACACTGATAACTATGGTGGAAATCAATATTCTGACAAAATGAATTTAGCCTTGCATTGTCTAAGTTCACAGGCAAACCTTACATAAAGTATTCGATCGGTGGAGATACAACACAAAATATCTTGGCAAGCAATGTTTAAATTGCCATACTTGTAAATAAGTTTGTTATCCAAAAAGTCATTTCTGTTTAGACATATACTTCAAAAGCAACAGAACGCCAAATGACACCGACTGAGTATATGTATGCCAATGTCTTCATTATGGGCATCAAATGATTTTCATATAAGATCAGGCTGTAACATGATGTATTTTAGAATTATTTAAAAAATCAAGTATTGTACTTATGTTTTGGAACTTTCAAAAGCAAACCTTTTGTTTTTTTACAAAACCTATAGGCTGTTTATGTTTTATATCTGTGGCATGAGAGTTTCTTAGCAGAAGCAAATGAGGTTCATCTCAAATTTGGGAAGAAGGCAAAAAACTTGTGTTTGACGCGATTGCACCATCGTCTATTAAAGGGCTGTGAAAGACATAAGTAATTATAAATGAGGCCTATAACTGTAATTTAAAAAAGGTTGTCATATAAAAATCAATGAAGCACAGTTGTAGTTTGGCAATGCATTTTGAATTGGAGTGTACAAGCATGCTTTTCACAATAGATCGACATTGTTACCGCCATATTTTGGATGTTTGTTGACTATGTTTGTGAAGTCTAACGTTCATTTTGTGAGGCAACGATGATCAACATCTGTTCAATTTTTTTAAAGTCAATGAAATAGCATTGGAGTTAATTCAAGCAAAATTACAATAGCTTCTTGATGGATGCGGAGGGTGGATGTGTCCCTATTTTAAGAGCATGTGGTGAAATTTTAGAGGGAATTGATGGATGTAGCGATGTAGCTTGATCCGTAGTTTGTTCCAACAATGACGTACGGGAAACTAGTTCGGTAACATCATCAACAAAAATTGTGTTGACCAATATATCGCATCTATTATTTGTTACTTTGAACATGTCAAAGTGCATATGAAAACATGGTTTTTCGTGCGTTTTTAAGCCATAAGTGGAGGTATTTTGTAGGGGTTAGTGAATTCATCGTGCATAACAAAGCGATGCACAGACTATTTGAAGAAGTTTTTGACAGACTTCTCGATCATGATGAAGTTTGTAACATCATGACCATCAATCAAAATACAATTGACTTTGCACCTGCATAGATTTTTCAGCAATGATGAAAAGTAAATATTACACTTGCTAGCATAATGCAACAACATCATAAATCAAATCATGTTCAGTAAGTGTGGATCATAGAATGGCAACACATTTTTTTTTGCACCTATGATCACTGGTGGTTCATTTGTATAAGGACAGAGCATGGGTAAAAAGGCTGATGTGGCCCAAAGGAAGTCAATTATGAAATCATTGTTATAAGATTCATTGTAGCATAATGAGAAAGAGATGTACGCATGTGGGTTAGTAATTTAACAATTTATATAGGATTATATAAGGCTGAGTCATGAATGTAAACTACTAAGTATACCTCATACTAGATGAAGGATAGCCTTTATACCACCACCCCCATTGAAGATCATAGTCTGTTACAGAGGTCCGACAGGTGACTTTTTTTCCCTTGAAATGGACGAAAAGAAAATAATTAAGGATAACATAAACAATTTGAACATGTTAACTTTTTTATTTATTTAACATTGTAGCAGCACAGTAATGCTTTAGCATGACATAAAATCTCAACATAACATAACAAAAATATTTCTAGAGGGTTTTGTTTGCTGGTTTGTTTTATAATAAAAGGTTTTGGTTTTTGCTTTTGGAATGAAGAAGCGCAAGCATCCATAGTCAATGCAGAAAGTCATTATTAGTGTAATGCAACACTAAATGGGTTAGTATCTATGGGTCTTTAAACTAAGAAGCAACTAGGTTATTTGATGCCAGGAGTGGTTTAGATGGTTATTTAATGGTTACATGAGGGTTTGGTATGGTTATTGGTCATAGGCTGTCAAGGTTGATGGTTGAGGGTTGAACCAACATAAGCGAGGCAACTGTGATTGCCAAAAAGACAATTTTGGCTATCGTGTTTGCGAAGGACGCAGTTTTTTTTGTTGATTTTATGAAGGGTTACGGTTTTGGCAAGGTAGACATTAATTCTGCTATATAAGCATGCATATTCATAAAATAAAAAAACTAAGTCTTTACCTAGTGATCATGAGGGTTCATACAAAACAAGTCTCTAATAGTTTGTTTATTGGTTTTCTTTTGTTCTTCGATGGTAGTCCCATAGCCTTCAGGCATTGGTAGTTATTGTATCTCTGATGCCACAGACTCGAAACTAAAATATTGATGCATGAGTAAATCACAATTAGAAAAGAGAAAGAAGGTTGAACAATAAAGAGAAGTAAAATATTTATGTATCAATGCCTGTATGAGATGAGCTTAGGGATGTCTGGATTGACGCACCATATAGATGCAATAGTTCCATTCATAACTGCTCTAACTATAATTAGATTGAACATAAGGGGAGAATTTTTAATTATTTGAATGAGGCGATGCTATAATGAGCTACGCATGTGATAGAGAAACCTACGTTGCTTACCTTAAACTCTCTAATTTTAAAACCAGTAAAAACTACCATAACGAGAGGCTAGAGTGCACTGGCACTTGCTTCATCGAAGTGCTTTGCAACATCACCCCATAGACTGATGTGGAGATCTTCGTTTCTTTGTGCCAAAGAAATTTGTAATTTTAAAAGGTAATTTTAGAACATGTTTTGAAGCCGAAATATCAATAAAAAAACAACAAACCTAATGTTCTTAATAATGATCTCTCTTTTGGACGCAAGGCATGAGTCCCGTACTGTGATGGTTTGCAGGGGCTAGATTGCTTTAATGCGATCTAAGACATCTATTTTGAAGGAATGTATGCAAACAATGAGTGGGAAATGTGATTTGTGGTGACACAAAAAAAAGAGAAATGAAAACAGAAAATGAATTAATATAGCCAACCTATGAGTGTTTTTGAATCTCAACCCCTAGTCAATAGATTGAAAAAGTCAATGAGATGGAAATAGTGTCTTGGTATGTTAGGGATGTTGATTTGCAAAGCTTGGACCTGCATATCTTGCTTGAGATCGACAATGGCTTTGCTGTCCACAACAGAGTTTATGAACTTGTTTTCAAACATGTAAAACTTGCTTAGTTTGTAGAATTATCCTTTTTTAATCTGATCTAAGAAATGTTGGACATCTTTGTCTCTTGTTGAAGCTTTCACTGCACCACGTTACAAAGCATATGCATTGGCAAATTAGAAATTATTATAATTGTTTTTTAGACTCTGTACATAACTAAGAAATCAAACGGCACAACCAAGGGCTTGGCCTGCATAGAGGACATTATTAACTACTACATGAGTGTCAATATGCATACAAATATAAAACATATGCAGCTGTATGATTATATTTCTTTTCGTAAAATAGAATACGCAACAGCAATCATTTGAATTCACCGGAGCATCATGAAAACACAATTGAAGCTCGTTTGTAATACCTCAAACTGTTATTAAATAAATTAAAAATATATTAAAGGTGTGAGAAAAATATTTCATGGGTATAGAATAATTGTAAATAAGTTGGTAGAATATTCAGCATGCTTAAGATGATTTTTCGATGCTAAGTGGATATTTTATTTAATTTTCGATGCATAAATAGTGACTTTTTATGTAAATTAATTATTTTAACCATGATGAATATGCATGAAAAATATTTTTTTGCATATAATATTTTTCAAAGGCATGTTAGATTATTTGATTCCATTAGATGAATTTTATGATGTTCTGTGATTATTTTATTTAAACTCTATTACTCATGAATAGTGTTTTTGAGGGAAATTAATTAATTTAAGTACTTTAAAGGTATAAGAAAATTATAAAATGGGCATAGAAAAATCATTTAGAATGTGTAAGAATATTTTATAAACTTAGATGAATTTTTCTATGTATAAGAAATATTTTCTACATAAAATAGTGTATTTTTGCACTAAATAAGTACATAAAAATTATGTGAATGATGATTAAATTCTTTTAGGAAGTTTTTGAATTTATTATGAAAATAAATTGAATTTTGAAAAGGTATGGGATAAAATTTTAGAATTAGAAACTTAATTGCATAGAAATTAGAGACCTAATTGCATAAAATTAAAAGTTTGAAGTTTCAAAACAATTAGGTATGAATTTAAGGAGTTAAAAAGTTTTTAGGAAACCTTTAAAGGAAG